GAGCCGTCCATGCCGTTGGGCGTGATGGTGCCGGGCGAGGAGCCCGGCGACGATGTCGAGGATGAGGTATACAGTCCAGCGGCGGCGGCGTTCGCAGAGTGCGCGGCATATAGCGATGGCGCCGAGATGCCCGAATAGATGCCGGAGTAGAAGCTGCTCAGGCTCGTGGGTGGCAATTGTGACGCCTGCTGTGCCTCCAGATGCTTGTGCGTCTGATTGTTGGCTGCCGCGCTCTGATGCAGCTTGGACAGCGCCAGCGGATCGAAACCTGTGAAATATGGCACCGGATACGGCTGGTCCAGATGATGCGAGGGTGCAAAGTATGGGGGCAACTGATGGAACGGATTGTAGCCACCGCCCGCCGGACCGCCGCCGGCTGCACCCAATTTCTGTTGTGCCATATTCATGTTCATATTCATGTTCATGTTCATGTTCATGTTCATGTTGCTCTGCATTTGGAGTGCGCCCTGGGGACCAGCGGCCAGCGGGTTCTTGGGCTTGCGACGTGGACGATACTTGTAATCCGGATGTTCCTTCATGTGCAAGGCGCGCAGGCGCTTGGCCTCATCAATGAACGGACGCTTCTCCGACTCGGCCAACAGTTTCCATTCGGCGCCCAAACGTTTCGATATTTCCGAATTGTGCATCTTGGGATTATCCTTGGCGATTTGACGACGCTGCAGACGCGACCAAACCATAAACGCATTCATCGGCCGCTTTATGTGTCCCTCCTGTCCAGGCGATGTGGCCAAACTGTGCATGGAGCCATTGCCAGCACCAGCGCCCACTCCCGAGCCATGTGCGCCCATGCCAATGCCTCCACCCATGCCGCTGCTGCCCAAGCTGCTCTGGCTGCCAAGACTGCCGGCGGAGCCAATGGAGCTGTTGGGCGAGAGGGTCTGCTGTGCGGCCACGGCGTTATGCATATGATGCGCCATATGGTGGCTCATATTGCTGGCAGCTTGGCTGCTGACGCCGCCTGGGCCACCAGCACCTGGTGAGCCGCCCATGGCTGCCAGACTGGCGGCCAATCCACCGCTTTGTGAATAATGCAACACACGCTTGATATCCATGTCCATGCTGGGGCTAAGCTGGGCATTGACCAGGCCCTGGGACGCATAGTCGCCAGGGGAGGGCAGCTCCAGGCCCTGACCGGTGCCCAAATGGAAACCATAATTGGGATGTGACGATAATGTGGCCATTATATGTGTCTCTATGTTCGTTTATCACTTGATATTGTTTTCAATATAATGTTCACTGTGTTTGCGTTCTTGTTGCTCTCTTGTTTGTCACTTCACTGTATTCACAATGTCTCTTTTTTTTTTTTATTTTTTGTTTAATTTACTGTAATGTCGTTTGTGCTTGTCAGAATCAGTTGCTGTTGCTGTTGCTTTTGCTATTGCTCTTGCTGCTGCTTCTGTTCGTCTCAACAGCTACACACTGACTGATTTGTCTGCGCAATAATTGAGACTGACACGACTACAGTCAAATCCAGTTTTCTGTTATGCCCATTGCGGACGTACTCTCTTTCTCTCTCGACACCAGCGCCAGCAGCAACAACCCCCTGCACAGGTATGTGCGTATGCCTGAGCGAGATGGCAACAAGATTGCCTTGTTCTCGCATACCTGTGTTCCTACAACGCTGCATTGTGCTCGCTCGCTCGCTCTCTCTCATTCTCTCTCTCTATGTTTCGCTCTTTTTCTCTCTGTTGCTGGTGCATTGTTACGCTGCTTGTTGGCTTTGTTCCATTGGCTCCTTTATTTCGGCCGCCTTGTTAGTTGTAGTTGTTGCCCATTGAGGGGTGTGTTCAATAGAAAGACTGAATAGCAGCAGCAACAACAACAACAACAACAACAATAACATTTCGCTCACTGTTCGGCTCGGTTCGTGTCTGGTCGCCTTGTTAGTAGTTTTTGGCTGCGCTGCTCCCATTTTTTGCCGCAGCGACCTCATTTGGAGCGCCCGCACTCCCGCATTCAGCTCCTACAGAGAGCTACACTCTCCTTCTCTTTCTCTCTCTAAAATTGCATTGATTTTTCGCAAACAGTGGGCACACAATTTCCGTTATTGTTTTGCCTGGCGCTGCACTTCCGCGGCATGTATTGTTGTTTGTCCAAAGAGAGAGAGAGCTTCGGGAGTGTGAGTGCATATGTACATATGCAAGTGTGAGAGCCAAAAAACACACATACGCTCAGAGAGTGCGCGTATGCTTGTGTGTGCGTGGCCGGTTGGCTTTACCTTTTCAGCCAATCATAATGGCCCCTTGGTGTGAATTTTTGTATACCCTGGCCATTGTGGGTGTCTGTGTTACTCTCTGTTCTATATACAAGCCGCATGTGTATTGTGAGTGGGCAAATGTGAATCTGTGCGTATGTGTGTCTGTGTGGGTGTGGGTGTACGGGTGTACGGGTGTTGGTGTGTGTTTTTTATGTATATGTGTGAAAAGCACATTTTAGTTTGTGAAAAGGACATGGAAACACGCTTTCCATTCTATGTCGTTGTTCGTTTCTTTCTATTTCGCGCTCGAAAGGATATTACTGCAATTATTTACTTATTTGGTAAAGAAAAGTGGAAAAGCAAAAGCGACACAATGCGCCACACAACACAATTACAAAACTAGGAACGAGAAAAACGCCCTGAATGGTTAGCTGAATTTATATAAGTATGTACATAGAGTGTACCTATATGCATGAGCATGATTGTATGGGTACCTGTGAGAAGAGAAAGAGCTCTTCGTTCAACTACACAATGCGCAACGTTAAAGTTGCAAAAAAAAAAGAAGAGAAAAACAGACAAAATGAAGTGTTTTTCTTGGCTGAAGGAGTACAATATGCGCTGGCTGATAACCAATTATATTAAGTAGCATAGCTTAAATATCCAACTTGTCTGCATATATCATGTACATGCACAAATGTAACATGTCAATTGCTCCTTCATTGGCCTAAAGCATCCCATATGTAAAATAAGCTGGTCCATTTTCTCCATAATAGTCGAGGTCTATGTTATAGCCCTCCTATGCTCAAGCCTAAGGCCTGACGGTAAATCATTTTGCAACACTGTACAAATATTTTGCAGCTTATACTAATATTGGCTTATATTTATACACATGGTAAGCTCCCATGGACGGCTTTTTACAATTATTAGATCTTGGAGAAACATGAAAAATTACTCACCTGATAGCCATTTCACATGCGAACTAATATACCCAATTCATCCTTTTGCTGACAGAGTATAAAAAGCTTTCAGCGCTTTCAACGTTTCCTTTGTGTTGTCCACCGAAAAAAGCAAAAAAATAATAATAAAAAAATAGAAAAGGAGAAATAAAAAATAACGTGATGTGTTGTGTAATGGAAAAAGTTTTGTTCAGCTAGCGTTTTGCTTTCTGTCCATTCTACTTTTCACTTAGCAATGGGATACAGAGAGCCAGGGGGAGAGCAAGGGGAAGAGAGGGGGGGGGGAGCCACCAACTAGGATAGTGGCAGAAAGGAGGACAGGCTTTTGCTTTTTTGCCAAACGCATCTCGCATTTAGCATTCAAATGTTGCCATGGACTTTTGTTGTGCATGCGAGTAAGGGGCGGGGCGTTGAGGTGCCATAAAATAGTTTTGATATTTTGTTTCGTTTTGTTTTCTTTTTATTTTCTTTTGCGTGTGCAAAAAAAAAAAAATAATGACAAAGCCGTCAGGTGCTACAGGCATATACTTATGAGCACTCAATTTCAAATGAGTCCAAATAGAATCAACAGTTCTGTAATTATGAAATCCATTATGGAAAGTCTAGCCCTAACCCTTTAGAAGGACTCGTCTGCCTTTCTCTGCCTGCTTTCAATACGCGCTCTCTATTATTCATTCGTTTTATTTTTTACATTAAATCCCGAGAGTCGCGCGTTCCATTGTTTGTCATATGTTGTTGTTGCTATTGTTGTTGTTGTTGTTGTTGTTGTTGTTGATGTCATTGTGAATACTTCAATTGTGAATTGGGGCTCTGACGCTGGGTAAGGCATTTTATATGGCCATATGTATGGCATAGGCAAACAATTCATTTAATTCGTTTCTCGTTTTTCATTTTACATTTTTAAATTAAATTCAGCAACAATGCGGCAAATGTGATAATAACAATGATTATAATGAGATCATAAAGATAAATAAAAAGCAAAACAAAAGGCGAATGTCTGCGAGACTTAAATGACAATTAAATGAGGTTAAATTGTGTTTACTTTGCGAATTGATTGAATTGTTTCATTACCATCCGATGACATTTGATTTAATTGGTATTTATTTAATTCACATTCACCTGCCAGACCAGACTAAAGATTTACTACTTACTATGCGCGTCCCTGGCACCTGGCATTACACAACATTTGGAAAAACTGCTTTCCCCAGCCGACAACGGTTAACTTACATTTTCTCACGTAGTTGGCAGCCGACGGATCCTTTGTTCAGTTCGCATATTCCATTTCCCACTGTCCATTTCCCAGCACCCCCCACACACACACACACACACGCACACACATGCGTATATTTGATTACAATTTCCTAGACGAACGTGTCCATTTGATTACTTTACAGATTTTGCGCTTTTCACGTGTCATTCTAGTTAAGAGCATTTTGCATGCACACGAAATCTAAAGATTTTTCTGTGCATTTTCCTTCATTTTTTTTTTGGCATTAACATGAAAAATTATGCGCCTTTGTGATAGGTTTATGTAATTTATGAGTATATTTAGTGTTGGTACGTATCAAGACGGGTTTGAGACCGGAAATACAATTTGGTTAAAACAGTTATCCAAAAAATTAACGAACCAATTCATAAATTGAGTGCTTAAGTTGCAAAACTTTTGAGTAAGACTCAGCTATAGAGCATAAATAGCTTGGGCCCGAACCATTTTACATTTATCTAAACCCATTTGGTACATTTAAATTTTGGATAAAAATCAAATCTAGCGCGTATCTTGTATATGAGAATAATTAAGAATTACAATATTCTCGGTAAAACAAGGCGCAAATGTTTATTTAAATGTAATTGTTTCAATAAAATATATCAAATGTAAGACAAACATAAGAATTGGAATAAAAAATGTGGATAATCAGGTTTACCTAAGGGCAAGAAGTGGGTTCGAGCCGTGAACCGAATGCAGGCAGAACTTTGATGCAGTGAGTGGGTTTGAACCCTCAAACAAAGGAAGAACTCAAAGAGAAAACAAAACATTGTCTTATTTAGCAAATATTTGTTTGTAAACTTCATCGGCATGCTATGAATATTATGTATTGGGAGCACATAAAAATGTCAACCTTTTCAAATGGAGCATATTGAACAAATTATAGTTCTGTGTAAGGGGAAAAATGAACAATATGTTCTGGCTACAACTAACTCTTCAGCTCATCCCATTAAGGCTAAACAGTTCGAAGGGCAAACAAAGAATCGCAGACTCCCATGTGCCAAGTCGACTTCCGTTCCCGTTCCCGTTCCCGTTCACCTGAGTTGACCAGGTCGAATCGATGCTGCTGCTGGGCAATTGTCCTGGCATTGTGCTGTCTCAGCAGCATCTACTGGCTGCAGCGTCCTTTTGTCGTCCTTTATTGTCTGCAATTCAACGGAACTCGAATTGTGTTTGTTGTGCAAATTGTTTCAGCGTTTGCCAAAGACAAACAGCAACAGCAAAATAAAAAATAAAATGAATATAATAAATAAACACAATATTCAATGCATTTTGCTTGCATTGTGTGCGTGTGTGTGTTTTTGTTGCAACATTTCCGGTCAGCACGGAAATGGAAAGGCAACTATGCCCAGAACCTTGCAAACAATTAACCTTTTCCACATAATATTCAATTTGCGGTATTTGTGCGCAAAGAGAAGGATATTAAATGTTGGCCGAAACATGTGTAAGCCCACATTTAACGCCCTGAAAGTCATCAGTCGCCTCCAGTTGCTGCTAAGTGTGAGAATCTGTGAGAGAATGTCTCGCCTCTAATGGGAATGGCTGGGAAAATGCCAATGGCAATGCAAATGCAATTGAGGAGCTGTCAGAGCGTAGGATATCGATGGCACTCATAAGGCATGCTCGATTTGAGCTCATTAGGTGCCCAGCGAAAGACTGGCTACTCCCCCCTCACACACACCTTCCCCCTCCAATAACTGCCTACATAACTCTACTAGATGTCATAACAGATTAACTAAGAAATGTTCGGGATATGCAAAAGACTCTAGACCCGAGGCATTGTTCACCTGGCCGACCCAAACCCAAGCCCAGTACCAAGTCAGGCACTTGGCTAAACGACGTTAATTTCTCAATCAGAACGAGAAATAAAAAGGGTTGCAGGCAAATGACGAACCTTGGCGGAACCGCAGCAGAAGCACTTCATAAGCCGGAATTCATCTTAAGTTTGGCATGTAATCGAAACGGGCCACTTAAGAGCTGCTTTTCGTTTAATACTTGAGCATATTTCTTTATATATTTTTTGCATATATATATATATATTAATTTAGGGAGGAAGAGCGAGAGAAGGACGCGGCTATTGCTGCTTTGGGGGTCATTCTTAGGGGTTGGCATTTTTGCCGGCCCCTCTTCAAGTGCTTAGGTCTAATTATTGTTGTCGCTCGACCCGCAAAACGTCGCCGCCCGAAGAGCCCACTCAAAGCGACTTTTGAAGTGCAGTTCAGTCGCGCGATTTCTTCGAGAACGTCATCGCGGTAACCGAATCCCACGGTGTGTGTTTACGACCAACAAGCACAGTTGGAACGAATTGCGAGCCCACAAATCCAGGGAATTAGCTGCCCAAAAAGTGTCAAAATTTTGCGGTTGCCTCGGGGCATCATCAACACCAACATCAGCATCAACAGCGTCAATGTTGTGTTTTGGGTAGGCGTGCGGAGGCGTTACCAACAGGCAAATGAGGTCCAGGCCCGGCCCGTGACACGCGGTGAGGCCTGTCAGCGACAGCTGCCCAACCCCAAAGCCACAAGTTTTAACCAAAAGTGTTGACAGCCTGGCCAGAAACGCTTTGATATTTCTATAATTATGCCCTGTACTAGCGAGACATGGGGTTTAATGTGCTAACTAAGGGGAATATTTGCCAGACAAGCAATTGCGATAGCTCTCGATAGCATCAAAGCTGAGCTGAGCTCAGTCGAGCATACCCGTTGGCTGTCATCGTTTGCCCGCTTTGCTGCGGCTTCTTGTAATTAATTTCAGTCATTTGGCAAATGGGTTCGATGCATTCGCAAGTCAAAGAGTTATATTGCGCGTGCTTAATGCTATCAAAGATCAAAGTAAAATTGTGGCAATGGGAAAAGCGCTTCGACGCCTCTCGCCGAATACCTTTCCATTCCATTCTTTACTAACCAATGGGCGGGCTCCATTTGCCAAGCTCCATTTGTTTGTGTTTTCTTTGGTTTGAATTTTTAATGCAACTTTTGATTGTGTTGCGTATTTTCACTCAAGTGATTTGATTTTGCGAATTGAATTTATTTCATTTGGCTCTTAAGTATGTATGCATACCTCGTACCTTCTATCGCCTTTCTATCTATGCGCCTGTCAGTCAGTCAATCAGCCAGCCAGCCAGCCAGCCAGCCAGTCAGTCAGTCAGTCAGTCAGTCTGTCTGTGAGTCTGTGGCGTTGTTGGTTGTGTTTGTTTAGCTTCTCCCGCGAGACTCAAGTGGCAAAACATTATTTTGTTCAGGAAATTCAATTAAAACTTTGCGGTTTTTTGTTAGCACCCCCGCAAATAAACATCAAGTGGTTCCCAATCAAAGCGAGGCGTATTCGAACTGCCAGCAGGTGGCGGGATGGAGCCGGTCACGAGAGGGCCAAGGTGGCAGGTGAATTCGGCAGTAAGCCGCTAGATAAATGTATAAATTGTGTCTGAATAAAAAGCTATGGAACCAAACAGTAGCATAGTCAAGGCCCTGCAAATCTAGCGAGAATTTTTGGATGATTCAATTCATAGTTCGCATCAATGCCTCGCCTTGAGGTACGAAAAGCGAGGCTTGAGTTCAAAATGTTATCGAATGTATTTTAAGCTTTTAATTTTATTAGAACTTGGTCAACTATTCACATTTAGAATGTTGCGCAATGTCATGTTTTAAGTATGTAATCAAATCTTTAAAAGAATATTTGCTTTACCAAACCATTTCAGTTGAGGCTCTTATTCACGCAGTTTTCCTACAGTTCCGAATTATGCAGTTTCTGCCCAATAATGCATTATCTGCCAGACCCAATAGTCTAACCAAGTATGAATGTGTTATTGAATGATTTGAAAACTGTTCCACAAGTGCGCATGCAACTGACAATTCCAAACAGTGTCAGATACTCGAAAACTTGTTGAATATAAAGTGTAAAAAATGTTGAAAAATGCTCGCAACAGAGCTAAATCAGTGTTAAATACAGCATTACATATGCCAAGTTAGAGCCAAAGTGCAAACAAAGTTCACGAGGGTCAAGCGAATCGAACTGTGATTCATCGGTAAGCAACCCTTGCAATTTCTCTACCCACACACACGGCCATACGCCCGCCTGGCTGTCAAAATAAATTGCTAGCATTTTTCTGGTTTGGTTTTATTTGCATAAATAATTTACTTTAAATCAACTCAAAGAACGCTTCAAACTTTACATTTTAAGCAAAGATTAAAAAGGCAGGCGCGCTGTGTGGCAGGGTCAGGGGGCAGGTCTAGGGCAGTTCACCTGGGACTCAGCGCCATAATTCTTATTTAAATGGACCCATTGATTTGAATACTTTTTGCATTTTTCTTTAGCCCGGCAAAAGTCCCAAAGGACTTTCCCTTTGGGGTTCGGCTGGCTGTGCTCGAAAGATTTGTCAAGTGTGCGCCGCGGTAGGAAAAGAACAAACCCAAACAATTGCGATAGTTAGTTTATGAAAAAAAGGTACAACAAAAATACAAATAAATAAATATGCGTACAGAGAAAAAAAAAGCAATCATCGGGCCAAGACGGCCGCATTTAAAAGTCATTTGCAACGCCCCTCGCAAGCCGCTAAACGGAGCTCATAAAACAGAATCTTTTTCCGGGAACATGCCGATGTCCCTCATGCGGCATTTATTGTTTTACAATGTTTGTGTGCGGAGTAATTAAACAATTTTGCCAACTTTCTCGACCCGCACGAACTTGAGTTTTTACCCGAGTCACGATTTTACGACTGGAAAATTAACAAGCCGAGTTAGCGATCTTTACGGCCAAGTTTATGATCATGCCAAAACTCGCACGGCTATGCTTGGACTGGAAAATGCTCTGGGGAGTTCAGGCAAGAGCCTAGCGAAAAAAAAATAAATATCATAAAATACAAAAGGAAGTGGGCGTTGTGTGCACCCAACGTAAAGTAAATTCGAAGCCCATTGCCAGCTGCCCCATTAGCAAGCACAATGAAGCGGCCCAACAAAGGTCCTGGCAAAACATGTGATTAAATTGTCGCTTGCAACGAATTCGACACCTCGCCGGGAGTCGCCTCGACTCTATAATTACGCAGTGAAAGACCCAGACAGAAAGAGAGAAAGAGAGTGACGAGAATCAAACGCCTAACAATAAGAGAAGAGGCTAAAGCCAATCCAGATCTGGGAATTTTGGTGTGACATATTCAAATTATGGCTAAGCCTTTGTTATGATCGGCAAGGGTTGCCACCATATCATTATCGCCGCTCGCCGCTCTGTGGTGCCCATTGTGCAACCGCAGCGCAAGGGTTGTAGCTGGGAACATTTCAACGAGCTGACCAAAACAGTTACACTGAGATTAATTTCCAGCTAGATTAGAGGGAATAAAGTTCGATCTAATTGCTAATTGCAAGTTCTTGCGTCAGGTGTAATAATTGGCAATGAGCAATGCCCGACTAGCATATACCCTCTACCCAGTGTCAAGCATAGCTTCACACTACGGCAAAAGCGATCTTGATCGGAGTTCATAGTCCGATCTTTGTTAAATGTGATGATTATCAGCATACATAGGCAAATAGCAGAGCTTTCTTTCTTTAAAAATGGCTGAAGTTGTCAAAAAGTAAAACATTTTCTCTAAGTATGAACTATATGGGAGGTTACGAAACTCTCTTATAAACTCTCTACTATACCAAGTATAGGAGGAAATATATTTTAAATTTCACTTAAGTAGCTTTTAATCTTTTAGAGAGCCAGGCACATAGTATATGTAGCTAGCTCGGCTCAGCTCCTCGCCCTGATCAAGAATATATATATACTATAATCAGCGATGCTTTCTTTTGCTGTTACACTTTTTACACCCAGTCACAGTTTAAATGTGTTCTGTTGATACGATTTTCACAATTTGTAGTGATTTTTCGTCAAGTGTATTAAGAGATTGTTTGTATCGCGCTGGCACAGCATGTCCCAAATTGCTCTATTCAGATGCAATTAAAGTCAAGCTGGGAAAGCTGAGCAGCCGGGGATTCTAGACTCGCGAGGTAGATCGCTGTTTTTTAACACTTTCAATAGCTGCAACATTCGACAGCATTCGGGCATAATGCTGACATTTCGCCATTCTTTTTTGCGCAACAATAAGGACTCTAAACGTTTCCGGTGCGTCGGGCTTGTCTGGCAAAAGGATCCCACGCATCAACAGTATCGATCGCTGATCTTGATATCGATCTAGACACATCTTGCTCTAATGCCCATTGTTTGGCTGCACTTGCACCCTCGCCGGGCATTGTGCGCGCCTCGGCGAGGCGAGCACAATGGAAGGTGTCATGGGCATCGGCCGGGCCAAATCTGTTGCTACAGTTGCAATTACGTAATCAAGATGCAGCAGATACGAGCCTGACAGGACTCTTGTCTGTTTCTTTGTGCAATCAATAAACGGATGTAGCCGAGGATGCAGCATATGCTCGCCCCCGCATTGAGACTCTTTCAATGGATTTATTGGCCAGACGTCCATAATAAAATTGTTATTATCATTCAAATGGCACATTATTGGCACCCTCTACAAGAAGATGCGTCGCTAGTTTGTTTGCCCTGTCGTAAAGCCGAGTTTTATGATGCTTATATAAATTAGCGATATAGTGTGGTGGTTGGAACGGCTCATAGACTAAACATTTATTGCACATTGCGAACAAATCTTAACAGGATTCTCAACAGAATACAAAAAGTAAAGAGTGCTCTAGTCGGCAGTGCCCGACTCGTAGATACCCTGAGCCCAACTGCGGCTACAAATACTCTAGCTTTCTTCTATACATATTCTTCTTCTAATCTCTGAGGGAATTTCAGCCTTTTTATAGTTCGATCGATCAGCTCTTAAAACGAACACGATTTCGTGGAAGCAGAGTGAGGTATCCAGCTCCTCGAGTCTCTGACATTAGCTCATCCAGAAGGGCGGGCAAACAGACAGACGGGCGGACAAAAAGGCAGACGGGCGGACAAAAAGGCAGACGGACTTGGCTAACCAAAAATAATGACGAGGTCCTAGATAAATAAATTTGTCTGTTACATACCTCTGCAGAAAACCATTATACCGCTGTTATCAATGGGTACAGGGTGTAAAAATCCAAAAGAAAATGAAAAGGAGAAATAGGCAAAGCGCGAAGCGCTCAGTTCAATAAAACTTGAACTAGTTCATTGTCAGGACATTGTCAGGATATGACTGACTCACAGATTATGCTGCTCTGTGCTGTCCGTTTTCGGGGCGGTGCCAAAGAATTTCTCGTACTCCTCCTGGCGACGACGGGCACGCGCCTCTCGCTCCATTTGGCGCTTTTTGGAGAAACGTTGGTGGATGCGTTTCATCTCCTGCACCTCCTTCATTTCCTCCTTCTCCTCGTCCTGCAGGCAAATAGAAGAATTTAGCTACTCAACTAGTTGCATCATAAATGCCTACTTACAGTCATGTTCAGGCGCAGGACCAGGGCGCGTCTACCGTCGGACATGGACTGGCTGTATTGCATAAAGTTCTTCAGGCGCTCACCTGGCGGCACACTGCGCTCCACGACGAGCACAATGCGCGCCCATTGGCGCTGCCACTCGTTGCGTATCTCGGCTATCTTCTGGTAGGTGTTGCCCATCATGGCAATCAACATGTTGACCAGCAGAACGCTGACAATCACCATAAATAGAAAGAACAATATCTTGGCCTCGTACTCGTGCTGTGTGGACACCATGGCGCCATAATAGTCGCCAAAATTGGTCAACGACATCAGAAACATGGCCACAATGGACTCCATGGGCGAGGGCATTGGATTCGATTCGGCGTCCTGATCCTCGGGCGTTGACGGATTGTCAAAGGTCAGAAATATAATGTAAAATGCCTGCGAGAAGCCCAGCACAAACACCAAATAGATGGAAACAAATCGCAGCAAATCTCCCATTACCATGCGATAGATCATCACAACGAAGGGTCCGACGGTCTTGAACCCACTGAAAGGCTTAAAAATGGACTAGCAACACAATAATATATGTTAATGCAACGCACCGACAAAAGAAGAGAAAATACGGCGCCGTGGTCAACATTATCATAACGGTCACATGGTCATCGATTTCCGTAAGACAGGAGACCCTCAGCCAGGGTATGGTCATCATGAGGGCACAGGAGAACAGGAACATGACGCGCGACGGAGCAGTCATCTGAGAGAAGGAAATCAACTCGATTTACACTCAAAGGCCAGGTTAAATAGTTAAACATACCAGATTCTCAATGAACATTTTGTAGCCAAGGAAGCGCGCCTCCCTCAGAGCGACAAGCAGGTAGAGTATGGCGCCTATGAAGTTAATTAGCTCGGCTATGATGCGCAGCTTGGCCAGATCCGATTCCAGATTCATGAGCGGACACTGTGCATAGGTTTGCCACCAGGCGGGCAGGGTCTCGACCTCGCTGGGATCATAATATTCCGTAAAGTTTAGCCAAAAGGTTTCTGTGTGGACATCGAAAATGATTTCAAGTTCTTTTTGATTGGATTCAACAAACAGACTGTATTCGGTGCTGGATGTGCCACGTTTGGTATGCTGGCCCAGACTGCCGTTGGTGTACAGGTCGTGAGATGCGCTGCCATTGGAAGGCGTCACAGCTGTGCCCTCCGGCTCCTCATCGTCGTCCTCCTTGGAATCCGGACCCGGACGCAGTATGAAGCTGAACAGCGATATGAGAAAGTAAAAGGCGAACATGTAAAACTGCTTGTAGAAGCGCGATTTGCAGAAGGTGTCCCATTTGGTCTTCAGCAGATCAATGACCACGCCATCCAGCAGCTCCAAGTGCTCCAGCTTGTCGCCGAATACCACAAAATTCAACACCGAATCCTTGTTAATGTTGCCCGTCTCCTCGTTAATGGTGTCGATCATCAGCAAGGGATACGCGGCACAGGTTATGCTGCCCAGCTGCCAATATATCTCACGCTCAATGCTCATCACATGGAAGAACATCTCGACCCGCCCCAGCTTGGCGGCCAGCGTCAAGGGCGTCAGATTTTGTATATTGCGCACGTGTATGTTCGAGCCCACCTCATAGCCCACATCGAACATTTCGATCTTCTCGTAAATGACCAGCATGTGCAGCACCGTATTGCCATTGGTATCCTGAAAGTCCGGATCTGCGCCGCGTGCCAGCACCAGTCTGAAGCACTCCTCCTGTACGGATTAACGATAATACATTTATGCTGAATAGCTGTTTCTATCGGATGTTCATGCTCTTCTTACCTGCGACAGGCAGGCGGCAAAACTTAAAGGATACTCGCCCCAGTATACGTAGCCATCATAATTGGTCATGGGTTGCAGCGCCACGTACTCGTGATCCGGCGAATCTGTGCGTGAGGCCTTCGTGTCCTCCGCGGACATAAAAGCGCCGCAGCAGCTGAGTTGTGAGGGAATTGTGAAAGAAGGAGAAGCATATGAAAGGAGCATTCACTACTCACCGCTCCTGAACGTCGGCATTGGCGTCCAGCAAATATTTGACCATGGCCGGATCCTCGTTGACAATGGCAATGTGCAGCACACTCTCGCCGTAGTACTCATCGCTCATGTAGATGTCCAAAATGAGCTTTGGATAGAACTTCAGCAGACGCTTCGCCAGATCAGCATGCAGCGAGGAGGCATTCAGCAGGCAGAGATGGAGAATCGTTTCACCAACAGCGCCGCGCATCTGGAAATGAGATTTTGTCATTGACACTCGCAACTGGACAGGCTTATCTTATCTGGAACTCACGTTCAGATCCCAGCACACAAAGCGATACGCACTGGGATTCGATATGTATTCCGCCTCGGATACCTCCGGACAATAGTCGTGTATATTGAAATCATCGTCGGGATTCTCGAGAGCCCGTATTTCGGGCAATTGTCTGGTTCGTGGCCTGTCCCGATTTCGCAGCAGCACCAGCTTCGATATGGGAAAATAACGGCCAGCGCCCTTGTTATATAAAAACGGTTCCACCTTCGTTTTGATCGCATGATCGATCTCGGCAAACTGTTTGGTCTGACAGGCGCGCTTCATCATGTCCACCAGAAGGCCGCCGCCCTTGAGATTGACAAATTTGTAGAGGGCCTGGGTGGAGACTCCCGCCTGTTTCTTGACGCCACTCGTCACATTGCTCTCCGTATTTCCCATGCTGCGGACCAAGTCCTTGTCAGCTGATTAGGAATCCGATGAAAAATCACCGTAACTCTTTCGTTTTTCTAGTTTTTATAGCGCGCCATTGCGAAATTTGCAGTATTTATTCTAGAACTTGGCTGTGTTCAGTGCGATGTGCTTTTGTTTCCTGTCTGTTTTTATCCTTCGAGTGGTCATCGATTAAACATTCCATCGAATTGAGCGTTGCCAATGCAACAGCTGAACTTGAGCTCAATTTATTGTTTACCAACCGTTGCCAGGCTGCCAAACTTGTTGCATTTGTTCAACAAGTGCCTCGTCCTTATCCTTGATTGCGGCAAACTTGTAGATTCCAATGAGGTAACATGCACTTGACGTGTGGCCTTGTACCTTGACATTGGGTACTATACATGCTCGCATACCGTTATTTTTTTAGCCGATTTAGCTTAGGTTTGAGTTGAACATTTTAATAACTGGTTTCTTATATTCTATGTAGCACTTTGTTGTCGATATTTCAGTATAGTTTTTAATCAAATTATTTTACCTTTCACATCATATAAACAAACAAAATAAATATAGCAGTACGAAATAAAGTAACGACGAATTTTCAAATCAGAAGCTTTTCAATATTTACCGCGTATGGTCACTCTAACATCTCAGTTTTGCGTTAGGCGCCTATTTCGCGTGACGCAAAGTTGAGAAATTGATTCTGTTAACTCCAAGTGCGTTAACAGAATAAATTTGGCATTTCAAAAATGTTATTTAACTATACTTAATGTAAGCTAACATTTTTTGTTATACACTGAACGAAAGTCGTTTCTTGACGAAATTTTAGATACGCTAGACAAAAGCTGCTTGCTACTAAACGCACTGTAAGATTTGAAAAAGTACGTTAAAAAAAACTACTCTATCTTAATTGCATAAGCAAAATATTAATTTATTAACATGACATTTGTTCGTGAGACGAAACTCATTTAAATTTATTTGGACCAGATCGTTATGTTTGATTATAGATAGTAGCTACAATTGTTTTGGTTATTACTCAAGTGCTCATCTCGGTTATTTCAAATGCCGAATTCAATAATATTCTTTTGATAGCATTAAGTGCAGGTAATTCTTATAAGAATATGTATATATATTCGCTTAGCATTAATTGATGTGGCATGTGTTAATTTACTAATGTAGAAAGACTTCGACTTATCAAAAGATATATGTATTTTGCATCTAACATAAATATATTTCTTGCAATTCTATAACATTGCCCAACGGGGCATATATTTATAACAATTAATTTACTTTTGTTATTGGTAAGCTTTTCAAAACAATTTAAATGTTAGCTTTTGATCCCATGGCTTGAACTATGTGTGAAGACAATTCGATATTTGTATGTTGTAAAACGTGAATATTAATAACAATTTGTCTATGAATTATACATTCGAGCACTGTCGCCGACCCATATAAATTGTCATCTGAGATTTCATTTATGTTTTGTACTTCGGGTAATTAACAAAATATAAATAATTTTAGTTAAAATCAACACCTACACTCCATTCACTTTTATGATAAGTTGTAATTCTTATTGCTAAACGTAATTGAATGCAGTTTAGAAAGAAATTGGCTGGGAATGATTTGGCCCATAGGCCATCTTATAGCTTGCCCTTTTTGTTCCTTTTCATTGGAAATATTTGTTAGCATAGATCATAGATCATAGAGCTTATAGAGCTAGATATATTAATTAAATGGATACATAATAAGTTGCTTGTTCATCAGCCAATCGCCGATAGCGCTTCGATCTCTACCTTTTCCTATATGCCCTTCTTTTCGTACGTACACCCCGTATTAAAATTTAAAATTAAAGTTTCACATTTGTGCAAGAAACTTCAGAAGATAAACAACATAAGCACGGCTTGTTCTGATATTTTCTGATAGCTTAGCGAAAGATTTTAAGAGAAGCTTCAAAATGCTTTACGGGGCATAAGCTGCATATGATATATTATTTTCTTTATAACTTCTTAATTATTAATAATATTTTAGCGGCATTATGTTAGGGCTGACCGCTTATGATTTTGAAAAATAATTGCATTAATTGTACTATTTTGGGGTAATAATTATGACTTTTGCCCAACCACTTTTGCCTCACAGTCAGTCGGATCAATATCGTGCTCAACTACCAGAGTATTTCTTGATATTGTATCTGCCAGACGAGTAACTGACTCTGAGGGACGCTGGCATGTCGAACGCTTGCGTAGATATTCTTCTTGCTGTTCTTTTCTACTCAAATCGCTTAGTCTAAACGCCTCCAAGAACTCATTTAGATCTACCTTACCGTCACCATTGAGATCCATCATACGGCATTTTTCCAACATTTCATCCTTTGAGTAAACGCCAGGCATGTGAGCGACCAGCAGATCAATTGCCTTCTCGAATTCATCCAGAGTTATTTCACCTGCAATAAAGTAATAACAAATTAAAATAGTTATGTACAGATGACAGGCCCAACGTATACTGCACCTGAATGATCGGCATCGATAATATTGAATATGGTTTCCAAGCTCGCTTTATTGGCATATAAAGCATCCATTACTGATGTACCATCTGCCTCAGCTTCCATCTGAATATATATTAATGATGCATTATTCTAATTAAAACATCTTTGAGCATAACATACAATAACGTCTGTGTCCAGGAGGTCTAATGTTCGAACATAGTTCACACATTGGCTATCCGTGCCCGGCGCCAATTTATCGCGTAGCAGTCGCCAGGGTAGGCCCAACTTGGTCACATTTTCCATTACAAAGCACCATTTTGAAATGGTTATGCAGCCAGAATCATCGGGATCGTACTTCTTGAAGTCCGCCTCCAGCTCATCCCGATGCTCACGCATTCGCACGGCTAGTTCCTTCAATGCCGCACACTCCACAATGCCCATGCGTTGCTTGAAGGAGAGCTCCTTGGTCTGTGAGGCCGCCGAAATGTACTGGACAAAGTGCGGTACCAACTGATTATTCAGGCGCATATAGGCGCCTTTGTTGGAGCCCATGGCATAGTAGTTCGAGGCCGAGAATATGGTGATGACCTGCAAGGCGAACAAAACACCGATAGCATGGGTAGATTCTTTTAGGGCAACAATCTTTATATATACCTTGTTGTCATGCATAAACTCGTGTCCATTTGGCTTGCACTCATGCGAGCGGATTACGTAGCTAAGTCGATGGCGTTTCAAAAATAATTCCGTTGTGTCTGGACCAAACCAAACACCAGCGCCTCGCAACGCGTTTGGCTTGCAGCCTTGCGAGGCCTGCGGATCGCTCCACATGATATCAAAAATCTGTACAAATAAAAAGAGAGTCAATTTTGGGAATTGAAATTCGATTTCGTGGACTTTGCTGCACCTGTTGCCACTCTGCCTTCTCCAGAGCCTCGCCATCCATTAGAGGTGGCCGCAGAATTGATACATACTGCAATAAAATGTAGTTTGAATTTAATTTGTATATATAACTGATTGATTAGAGAGAGCTGTGCATCTACCTTTCCTCTGTCAATGCTTTTAATTAGGTCCAGGTTCGTAGTATCCGAGAAACCACCGTGCACAATTAAGACGCGGTTGTTTAAAATAGATCCTAGTGGAAGCCAACGATAAACCTCGTCAATTAACGAGAGCAAACGTTTGTGATTACGCTGAAGGAGTTAAACGTCATAATTAGGGATCTCAGTTGCAAGAGCTGGATGGATATGCTTACGGGATACTTTCCCTCTACCTCGCGAATGAAGCCGTAGCGGGCGTTCATTACGCTATCTTCGTGGTTGCCGCGATTCAAGAACACAGCATTTGGAAATGCCAAATAGAGGGACAACAGGAGCAGCAGCACCTCCAGCCCTCGCTTGCCCCTATCCACAAAGTCGCCATTGAAGACATAAGGATTGCTGGCAGAAGGCAGTCCATTCTGAAATAGAAATTCAAGCATTTATACGCAATTTGAGCAGTCAATACTATTTGACTAAATACCTTGTAGAGCACCACCAGCAGGTCATCCAGTTTGCCATGCAGATCCCCACATATGGTCACCTGCTGGGAGACAGCCGTCGACACCATCCACAGGTTTGGCATCTGTTTGAGGCATTTTGCAGCTTCGCGCAATATCATGCACACATATTTTGGATGCAAACGGTTGCCCTACAACACATAAATACGTTTGTTAATAAAAGCCAAGGAGTTTGCCAATAACATACCCTTTTCTTGCGGAATACATCAATCATGAGATCTATGTGCTTTTTCTGTATGGGTAATTCGAGCTGTATACGCGCCATTTCGCCAGTTTCCTCATATAATGTGGCACTCTTTTCCGGACCAATGCCTAGTTGAAAATAAATACATGGTTAGAATGGCCAAGAAAAGAATGTGCTAGACAAGCTGTTGGACCTACTTTGTTTCGAGGTCTGACCTTTATTGCCAGCCTCAATGGCCTGGGGCATGTGTTTGATAAGGTCATTGAAGAACTTGTATAGCTATAAATAGAATAAAATAAAATAATCAGTAAACCTGGCATTATTAATTTTCGGAACATGTGTTCTACACACGTAAATATATATTATTTTATATACATATTTGCGTGTGTGTGTGTTTTCTTTTACACATTCGTCGCATGTTATCGACTTTCGAATCATAACAAATGCACAAAAACGCAGCCGATTCTCTGTTGACCGAGCAGGGTATTTGAAGGGCTGCAAACCCAAAAGAAATCAAAATTGTCGAAGGTTCGGCTTAAGGTTCGAACCAACTTCCCATGCTTAAAGATAAGCCAGGTTTATCAGACCAGCTTTTGCTTTGTGAAAAGCAATTGAATTTTGAATGTATAATTCGATTGAAAGCCTTCATTTGCATAGATATTGTGGGCCAGCTCTTACCTCGGCCTGGTCCTGCTCGCAGGCGTATTCGACGTTTTGGAATATTTGCCAATTGCAGCGCTTTCGCATTTCCTGTCGTGCCTGATGTCGGCGATACCATTTCTGTATAAATATTGCTGCTCTGATTGCTGAAATAAATTGACAGACAGATTTTAAGACGTTAACAAAAAGAAGTTGCAACTAAAAAAAGCGAGATAATAAGTAAATTCATGTTACTTAAGTTAGTTCTCAGACAAGTGTTGTCATCTGCAAAAAGGACAAACTAACTTAAATTCTAGTATTACAGGCTTCTCTCTCTCTCTCTCTCTATGGCTGCATCTCTCTGCTGTCGCTTGCAACAGGGTTTCTGCATGAGCACACAGGTTGGCGGAAGGAAATGCACTCGGCAGGAAATGCAGACGGGCTGATTGAGTGATTGATTGCTTTATCGTTAAGGATGCGTGACACACACACACACACACACACACACACACACACAGTATATATATGGTGTAGGGACATGCTTTCTCTGACTGTCACATAATTACAATTACATTATTACTTGCCGTTGTCATCCATTATTATGTAATAGACTTGGAGAACGGAGTGCGAATATAATAGTCCTTGTGACTGCCGTCCGTAGTCAATGCACACTTTATTTATTATTTAATTATTGCTCACTATTGTACCTATTAGCATGGTGAGGGCATTGAGAGTGTTGTGTTTCTTTACAAATTTCAAAGCATACTTTTCATTTCATTTGCAGCTTTGGGTGTTCTCGTTGCTAGAACGCAACCCATTTAATTAACCAGCTATTTAGTTGGTTTCCCGCACGAATTATTATTTTATAGGTCTATTGGTAAAATCAATTATTATAGAATTGGTAAAAAAAAAACAATTTCCATTGTTTTACACACGGTATCCAGCACAAGACTGCGACCAGAACGACTCGCAACCTTTTTGGTGTGTGGTCTTCTAGCGGGTCTCTCTGTTGGAACCCGCCCTTGTCTCTGACCCTCTCCCTACACGTATTGGCCCCATCATGTATGTGCATGTGTGTCAGACCCGTCGATTTGTGCCCTGCCCCCTGCCCGCTCTCCCCGCTCCATCTACCTTTGGACAGCAATGTTGTGGTCAAGCGACGGGGTAGTAGGGGTAGGTTGCCTTGGGGCTGTCGTCGTCTGCTAAATTCGTTTGTGCCACAAATTGTAACACAATATACACGAACGCAGCCGCAGCCGCAGCCACAGCCGCTGGCTCAAAAGCTAAAATGAGGGCTGACCGAACTTGGAAATAAGGTTGAAATGGGTTGGGGGCCGGCAATAGTATTTTTTTATGTTGCTTTTTTTTATTTATTTATTTTATTATTCTTGCTCTTGTTGAGTGTTGGTGAAATAAGTAGTCCACTTAGTGACTCTGCGGCGTGTGCTGACTCTTATAACACAAAACCAGATCAAGTTTATTTCAATATTTTGGTTGTATTTTTGAGAAATAGGCTGTTAAGCATCCATTAAGTATATACACATGCATTTAAACCTGCAGGTCCTTGCTGATTGATTGATGACTGGCTTATCACCTGACTGTTACCTTTATGTTTTGTAAATGGGGGTTATTTGAATATCTCTCTCGTTTTGTTTCTCACAGTGCTTCAAATTCATGTTCAGGATAGTTACAAATACATTGCCCGCCCTCTGTGTGGAGTGTGGGGTCAAATTTGTAAAGGTGAAAGTTCAAGTTCTATTCAATTTGCAACAAACTTTGTTTCAAAGGTCAAATAATATTTTGGAAATTTATTCATCACGAATCCGCGTGAAATGTTAAATAAGACGTGCAATAAATGTGCATTTTTTCACAGGGCGGAAAATGAGTGAAAACTTGAAATCCGTTAGAGCGGATTTTAGAGAGGATTTGTTGAAAGAGCGTATTATTCTTTTATGTAAAGGTAAACGGTATTTGAAATTAAAATCAAATAATGTTATTAATAAAGGGATCTACTCACTTTTCTCGGCACGCGTTGCACTCATGCCTCGAAGCGGTTTGCGGAAGTGCTTGCACCAACCTTTCCGCTGGAACAATTGCAACAGACTGGAGGCGCGCGTGCTGGTTGGCGGAGTCAGCGTTTGTGGCTGGCCATTGGAACCCAGCGTGGTCGTCTGCATGCTGGCACCGACGCGCTCTATTTCCGACGAGCGACACGACGAGGCGTCTTCCACGGAGGAGCTGCGCCGCTTGCCACTGCCGCCGTTTTGCAGGCACACACAACTGCGCAACATGTTGGTGTCCGGATGTGGCTGGCTAAGTCCGGACCGGCTGGCTGGGATGTGTTGTGTAACTTGAAACACCGCTGCCGTGTGTAACACGGACTACGGCGCACTAACAGGTCGACGGGGCGCACCTATTGACATCGGGCGCCGGCAGGGTCTGTCTTAATTGCAGCTCCGCACACAACTCGCTGGATAGTAACACGGACTTGTAGTCATGCCACATGCACAAGTGTTTGCCTTGAGGTTTGTTTTAGTACCTTGTACTATTTAGTCTGGCCCGCAACGTAATATGATTCGACCATACTTGGCCGGAAAATGCGTCGTGCCTCGTCCGTCCTTCAACCACGACCGGGTGTGCCCACTTTACGTATGTTGGCACTTTTTCTTTTTGTGTCTGTTGCCTTCGGTGCAATTCAGTTTTTCTATCATATTACTTATATTACATATATTCAAGTCTTGCGATTAACTAAATAGAACAGAAATATCAAAATTATCAAAGAGCTATTATTTAAAGAGTTCACTAGTCATTTATAGTAAATTGTAATTTAGGACAAATTCAGGCATTTTGAACAGTGTATTAAACTTTTCTCTCAATGGTCGAATGTTCCACTTTGAAAAGTTTAATAGTAGGTTTTCAGCCTTCGACATATCCAGCCCACACACTGGGCATGAATATGCATACATACATATATGTTTGCACATAGATACACACACACACACACACACACACACATGCTACATCCGTTTTTTAGTGTTCCCTAGCGGAAATCTGCTTACTGTGCGGTTGAGTGAATAATGATTTAACCTTAACGAAAAATGCAAAAACAAAAATGAATAAAAATAAAGCGAGAATTAAGAACCATATTCGACACGTCGAAGATTAAATACCCTTAAGGTCTTCTGTATCATGCTGTAGATCATAATTCCCGAATTCAGTCTAGATAACTGGAAAAACAGAAAATGTTTCGACTTTAGTCGAATGTTAAAAAGATTTTGCCAAGATAATGTCAAGGTTCGGTCAAGTTATCTCAGCTTTATGAGCTAGAGGTCCATTCCACCCGAATTCCGATATATGCTTGCTTGTGGAAACCTTAAGGCCTAGGCTATATCGAAAGGCCTAGGCTATATTTGATACTGATCTAAATATACTTTATGGCTTTAGATATGTTCCCCTATGTGCGTTGCATAACTGAATTGTAATACCCTCTACAAAGTTATCGAAACTATAGAGAAAACAAGCATGAAATGCTCAAAGCCCCTGAAGCGACTATCATTCACCTATTTCAGATGATTTGTAAGGTGTGGGGTTGGGGTTGCCTTTGTATTAATTAGTATCTGCTCGTGACAAAGGCAGTTCGTTTGGATGTGGGTCAGGATGTCGATGCTGCCCGTTGTCCTCCATACTGCCAACAGCTAATAGCTGGGTCATAAGAACAAAAGGCTCCTACTCGAAAGCTGGTAGTATGGAGAACTAGAAAGCGTCAAATTTAAATGCCAGCAACACAAAAGCAAATTTCAATTAAGTATACACACACTTTCGAGCAAAATTAGGAACTTTCAGGACATGCGGCACGTATTGGACTAAGGTGAAACGGTTTTAGCCTTGGCAAGGCAGAAAGTTAGTATCTTGCAACAAAGTGTGTAAAATGAGGAAACCCGCAGCGTAGCTTATTGGTTTCTGGGTGTTCGCCTTGCCCCAATGGTAACGAGCACCGCAACACGCATAAATCGGCGTCAAAAGTGGCATGCGGCATGCGGCAAGGGGCATGCGGCATGCGGCATGCGGCAGGGAGCTGCGAAACTTTTATAAAAATTCAATTTGTACAAAGTGAAAATGTTTCAAAAATTAATTTTCAATTTGTAAATAAGATTATTTTTTTTTCGAAAATATACGCGCTGCAGACCCCAACACAAGGGTCGCTCGACAAGCACCTCCACCTGCACCCACCTGTCAGGTGGCATTATTTGGGAAAAGTTGTCGCCACATCGTGTTCTGTCATCTGCCAAACGACCACACACTCAATTTCAAGTTATTGTTGTGTTTCTTTTTTAATTGGCTGTCTGTTTCCCAATAAATTGGAACCAGCAAGTGCGCCATATCGATTCCCAATTCGGCTTTAAACACGCAGGGTATTAAATGGCAAAGTGGATGCTGTTTATGGGCAGAGCATAAAGTTAACCTTAACAAACTGCCAATTCTTGCCAGTTTCTGGCAAGTCCCCATTTCGACCTATCTGTACATTTTCATCATTGCTGATGGAACTAGGAAATATCATTTTATTCGCAGAGTTGGCTTAAATACTGCCGTATTCACGTTTAATCAAAGCAAAGCCAAAAATTAATATGCGGAAATTGTTGTTGGGTAATTGTGCACGACAGAAAGAAGTAGAAGAAAAGCAAACCTAATATCGCTACCATTTGTTCTAATTAAATAGAAAACTTTGCTTTTAGCCAGGATACGAAAGTTACGAAACAATTCATATCAATTAAGCGCATTGTAAAGGTCACTTTCCGTCTTTTGAGTTCCCGAAAAACTGGCCAGATTGAGTGCTTGGACAGATTGAGTAATGACATCATTCGACTGATAATTGGCAAATATGTAAGATCGAAGGGACTTACGTTTGCTCCAAGAATTGGAGAACCGTCGGTAACTTTACTTTATTTTACGTTAGGAAACAAAGAATACTGAAAATCACAGAGACAAAAATTGCTATTTATGAATTCCCACTGAAATGTCGTTCATCTACAAATTGAGAACATTTTTGTTGCTCTACAATAAAATATATTGTGAAATGTGTTTTGGACAGACGGCCGACTGTCCGATACCCTGTAACCATGGAAAAGCATATGAATGACATATGATAAAGCTATGCAGGTGCTTAAGTTAAATATATAGAATCTATCTCAGCGACTTTAGCGAAGATATAGATATATGAACTATACTTCGTTTATTTCAGAGACATTATCACGCCAACTCTGCACATTTCAATTGGTTACAGCGTATCTGCAAGTCGAGCACGCTCACTCGAACCATTCTTCGTTGTTTTGTTTTGACTTATATTTATACATATGTAGACAGTATAGATGCATATACAAATAGATATTTTCACTCATGATTACCAAGTGGTTCAATTTATATTTTTGTCTTGCAAATATTTAACTAAATAGATAAGCAAAGCGTTGACCAATTAAGCCTTCCGATAAGACTAGATGCCGCGGAGGATTTAACGGTACATACATAATCTCATAAGTACAAACATATTGATATGCATAAAAGAATATGTAAATTAAATGTAGGTATACCTTCGAGGAAGAGCTTGCGGCTAATAAACCGCATATATTCACTTTAATGCTGCTCCCAGTTGATGACACGGCCGTAGAAATAAAAATACAAACGTAGGTGTGTGTGTTTGTTTGTTTGTGTATACACATACATACATGCGTTAACAGGAATTTTGTTGCACCAGCAAATGACAGATATGTATATCAGCGACCATAACAGAGAAGAAATACATACATACATATGTATAAAGGCGGCAAATGATTAAAAGAAGCCACACAGAAAACTGATGCGGCGGCACCAGCAATAACTGCACATATACACACAGTAGACACAGTAGACACCGTAAACACCGTACGAACTTACACACACACGCACGCACGCACACAACACACAGAGCGCCAATGTTACGGTTCTTAAATAGCACGGTCTAGCCTCTGAATGCAATAGCAATGCGAATTTGTTTGCTTATATGCATAAAACATTGCCGGTCCGCGTTCCGTTCCGTCTTGTATGGAATACCGATACGAACTGAAATGAGCTGAAAGCACGGAAATCCTTTTAGTCGACTGTGGCTGTGGCTGCGGCTGTGGCTGGCGACGGCGCAGTTATTGCGAAAACGAAAGAAAACAAAAATCGTTACCGAAAACAGCTGATTGTTCGCTTGCCGCGTTTTTGCTTCCCCTTTTAACGCGTGGAGGCTGCGCGATTCACACACACACACACACACACACTTTCACTCTCACTTCACAAAGCCAAGCATATTTGAAGTTCTTTTTTTTTTTTTAATTTTTTTTTTTAATATTTGTCTTGAAGGGCAATGTCAGGGTTAAGGAACCACACCCTGCTCAAGGCGATTATCAAGCTTGATTATATTTTGATAATGGCGTAGTTCAAATTGAAAGCCATATAAGATACCAACTTTTGCATTTACTTAGCGCGCATTTAAAGGACCTTTAGGCCAAGCTTCACGGCTTTTGACGTAGTTAATTTTATGGTACAGACCAAATAACTTTTAGCTCTGTAAACAGCTCTTAAAGACTTATTAAGCGATTTTTTTTTAATACCTCGCATTTGAAGCAAACTTAAATAAATGGCACCCACTTTGCATTTTCGCATGTCATCATGTATCGCGTTACTTTCTAGCAATTGGACGAAAGAAAAAAAAATAAATGAAGTTGTAACAAAAAACTATGGTCCATTGTGTATACGTACCAAGTTAAGTAATTAGTAGGTCCCATTATACCAAAGTACTGTTCACCGCAGCACAGGGTGTCACCTAGAGAGTTCTTAAAACATGCACTTAACTTAATGTAAGTTAGCTTAATAAATGATATATCTAACAGCTAATGATATATGTACGTAAATTGCATTTGCATAATTTCTTAGAGTATAGAGTATAGTTAAGTCATCGTTCGGTCAGAGGCAACGAATGGGAGTAACAATGAATATATATGGTAATTTTTATAAATATATAACTTTAGCAGCCATAGAAAAAAATAAAGAAAACGTGCAACGTCTTCTGCAACGTCATCAATATTAAGTTCTATTAGCGTAGAACGGACTCGAGTTGCCGTAAAATTCAGCAACAAATTCGAAATGAGGGCGCGACCAAGCGATTTGTCAAGGCCACAAACCGCCTGGCTGATTATTATGTTTGGCCATGCGAGCTGGACACAACACGGTAAGAAAGGGAAACTATATTTAAGGCAAACAAGTAACAAGAGCTCGCACTGATGCTACCCTGTTTTTAGATCAAAATTATTACATATATCATTCAGTTGAACAATAAAGTTATACAAGTTGCAAGGCTTAAATTATTTATGTATTAATATTTGTTTTATTTACAAGCAATTTATTTCAATTATTGAATGAACTTGAAAGCAACTGAATTGTACAGCTAATATTTAAATATATATATAAGAACTAAATAGAATAACTTCGGTCATGGACATTAAAAATAAAAGGCCGCAAACCATAAATTCTGCACTATGTCTTTGTCTATTGTTAAAATTCATTTATACTGTAGGTGCTAAAACTATTTTGTAGTGCGCTTACTTATACCGATTCTATGCAAATTTTGAATGTGTTGGTCGGTAAAACATAAAGAAGTGTATTGATCTATGCGTTCTGAAAAACACATTGCCAAAGACAACTTAAAAATCTATGTGGTATGCAACTAAAAGTGCATTGGACTTTCAGATTTAAGCTTATGAGAAAGTTGCTGACAGAATCGCATTATAATCTTAAGAATACCCATATTATAATATTATATACATAAGTTTTATACCTTGCTACAACCAGTCACAGCATAAACACTCTAACATAGTGTGTGCTTATGCGATGTGTATAACATATGGCTTGATTGGATCGCAGACTAAAGAGGACTGCGACATGCAATGCGAAAAACCGTCCTAGCACAATCTTAAGATTAATGTTATATGATTATAACTAACAACTCATTGAGTTTATTGCAGCTTTGTTGTATACATTAATAATATATTCAAGCGGCTCCAGCTCCAGAACAACCTTCAGTAAGTAAACAAAGCCTATTATTGCTATTGATAATTACTGCATTACTTCGCGAAAACGTTTCTGGCGCTCCAAACTCTCAACTTCGGCCCAACAGTTGCGCATGTTGCGGAAGAGCTATCAAATTAAATTAATAAATATTATCATATAAATTAACCACAAATAATATGCAACAACTTACCTCATCTATCCAGTTGTGTTCGGCCAATAGATCATTTAGTATTTCCGTTGAGGTCTTGCCGGGAAACTGTTGTTGCTGTTCTGTAACACGCTGCGAGCAATTGATAAACAGATTGAACTTCTCGTGAGCAATCTTGTGGAAGAGATCCGCACGCGCAGCACAAATGCGACACAATACAATGTCCTGAAAGCAAATAGAATGGTGAGCCAAACAAATTATAAGGACAACTATAAAAGAGGTTTACCTTCTCGTATACAATTCGCGCATCTGCAGATATGGTCTGCATGGTGTTTGGATTATAGGGTTCCCCAAACAGAAGGAAACGCACCGCAATGCCCGGCTGATGGCAGCCAGCGCAGTTCTTTTGGGTCAAATTGTTCTGCACCCATTCAGAGAAAACGTGACACTTTGGCCACGTCTCAATTGATGAGATAATGCTGCGTGTCCACGGTGTGATCGCCAACAGTTTCCGTTTGCAATTGTCCATAATGTTGTCTATTACGCGCACGCTACCCAAAAAGTAGTCATCTGGAAAGTAGTAAATAAAATGTAATACATTTTATGAAATCGTAATGGAACACTTACCTTTCTCGCGCGTTATTTCAGAGAAAAAGCTTGGATCGAGCGCCTGCGATATCATTGTTTGTATATAAATTTCAAAATTGTCCCGATACGTTAGAAAATCCTCCATTATCTTCTCAATGAACTGCTCAGTATCGTCGGCCAGCAGCTCGGAACGCATGAACTCCACAATTGTCTCAGTGTGAGATTGCATCTGTATGCGAACGGGTGCTTTGAGGTAGAGTTTCTTCGTTTCTAGATTCCACGAAGCGTACTATATGTTTACAAAGAAAAGAGCATTTTTAGTACTGATCAGATGACTAGATATATTGCATTTACTTTGGACATGTTGCGGTAAAAGGTCTTGCCGTTCTGTCGGAATGGCTCGTACTTTTGCAATATACATTTAGAGTCCACCTGCCAAATGGTGGGCCAATCGTTAACCAAATCAGCACGTAAAACGATAAAGTCTCCGGTCTGTGCAAGAGTAACAAGAACAAATATAATATCAATGATATAGTCGTATAATACGGGGATACATGAGATCTTGTTGCTGAACATACTTTAAAGTTCTCAGCCGTGGCTGGTGTTCCCGTTGGTGCACTTCCATAACCAACATCTGCACCACCTTGCAGATCCTGCTGCGGATTATAGCCATCGCTAGAGACATGCAATTGAGGCTGCTGTTGCTGCTGCTGTGCCGCCTGCATCTGTTGCAACTGCTGGTGTTGATGCAAATGCGTTGTTGGCTGGCAGTAGGTGTTCTTGCGGGGCGTTCCCTTGATGCGTCGTGCTGCTTTCCGCTTGCCATAGCCCTTGCCGCCGTCGTCACTCTGTTTGATAAGGAATAGATTACAAACGACGAACGGGCGAGCGAGCAAGCTCTAGCTAGAAGAAACACTTACATCTTCTTCCTGCGGCGTCCAAACGGGATCCGTGTCCGAGTCGGTGAACTCCTCGGGCTCACCAACCGCACCGCCCTCCCCAATAGTTGATGTATTCAAGAGAAGCGCGTGCATGCTGCTCTCCTTGGCCTTGCGGGAGCATTGCTCCCGCCGCGGCGGCAAGTTTAAAGGGTCTGTGAAGAGCACAAAAGTAGTTAGCAAGCATCATCAATGTGGTGGGGCGGCGAAACGATCAACACAATGGCAATCAAGCCAATCGCCGAACAACAACTACGTCAACAACATAAACCCACAGCCGAGAAGCCATCGAGGGACACTGCCGCTGCAGCCGTTCCGGCTCTTAAGTAAATAATAAAAATACAAGTTTTTATTTTTTGATGATTTTTTTCTTTTTTTTTTAAATTAATAATATTTGTTCTCGGTATTCCATCTCAAAAATACTTATACTTTCTTTTTTTATCTTTCTTATTTTTTTTTGTTTTTTTTTGTTTTTTTTTTTTTGCTCTTGCGTTTCGGCATTATAACAATTTTAAAAGTTAAGTTTATGTATTCGGTTTTTACATATGCACAGTGTCCATGTCCCTGGTATTAAGGTTCGTTGTCTGTCTCGTCTGTCGGGTCACATGGATCATGGATGCGATGTGGTAATTATCGCGACTAATGCTGCCACGGCCAAATCAGATTAATAAGGTGATGATGATTGGGGGCGGCTGGTGTTGCCACGCTAACAGCTGTGTTGATGGCGGCTGCCGCCGTTGACGCGTCGGCGGCGGCGGGTGTGTGATGGTGGTTGTTGTTGTTGTTGTAATTGTTGTTGCATGGCGCAGCAGTAGTTGCGATAGTAGAGTGCTTATTGGAATTATGCTGTTGGTCAAGTAACATACCTTGACTGCCGCTCCCGCTTCCACCAACACCAGAACCCAACTGCGCGCAATGCTGCTGCACGAAATGCTGTGCGGCGCCCAAGCCCGGCGAATCCTGTTGCTGCTGGGCGTATGGCCGAAACGAGGATGTCGTCTGATCGGCTGCGGGATGCTGTATGACAGAGGTAGATGTTGATTCAGCGGCTGCTGCTGCAGCAGCTGCCGCCGCCACCATTTGTGCATGCGGCCTCTTTTTCGGCAGTATTTGAGTTTGTGAGAGTATTTTGATGCGATGCCCATCGTCTCCGACGAGACCGGCCAGATTCTGTGCCGCTTGGTTGTCCGTCGCTGCTGCGCCCGCTACTGTTGCCTGCGACGTGGACGCTTCATCGCCGGCACCAGCCTTGCCTTTGCGTTTATAGGGAGCACGTGGATAATTCAGTTTGCGCGAAGGTTTTACCACTGGCGGCGGATCATCGTCACGTTCGCCTTGAAGAAATTTCA